GCAGCTTCAGCACAAAAAAAATCAGTATCAGATTTCTATCTTTTAACAATGTTGATGGAAATCTATTACTTAGGCACTGCCAACGTTTTAGATCTGTATGGTCTATAAGGCAGGGGATAACCTGCTTCCTCAAATAGCTTTCACCAAACGTGTGGTGATGCCAGCATTACTACACAGGAGTGTATGGTAAATTCACATAGTAGACTGAATGTGGAAAAACTGAGACATATTGTTAAAACTGCACATATTTTTCTTAAACATGCCTGTTCACCATTTGTTTCGTAGATGGATGAATGTTTTCAGAATGTAGTTGTGCTGTACGTCTTTACGCTAAAAGAAAAGGGACATCTGGAGTTGTTGTTACTTATTTAATATATATACAGATCAGCCAAAACATTAAAACCACTGGCAGGTGAAGTGAATTAAATTGATCATCTCATTACACTGCAAAGTTCTGATGGGCAACTTTAGGTCCTAGGATTCATGTGGATGCCACTTGAGACGCTCCACCCACCCAAACACTGTTGCAGACCAAATACCACAGCAGTGGCCCAACCAGCAGAACAATGCACCATGTCATGTCATGTGACAAAGAGCTCAAAGCGTCTACCTGTCCTCAACATTTCCTAGATCCCAATCTGATCGAGCATTTGTGAGACGTGACCTTGGTGGGGCCTCCTTGCATTCGACTCAGCTCTGACCTGTCAAGGCCTCGACACAAGATCTCTGGAGGTGTGCTGTAGTGTCTGGCACCTGGGTGTGACTGCGACTTGTTGGTTGTAAGGTGGGGTTCCAGCATGTCCCACAGATGCTCAGTCAAGATCCATTTATGAGCATCTTTTGCAGTGTGGCATGACGCATTGTGCTGCTAGGGGAGGCCATTGCCACTGGGGAGGGCCGTTGCCATGAGGGGTATACTCCTCATGGCACCTCAGGGTACTCTGTCCACAATGGACCTTTTTCACAGCAGACATTTTGGCTTGTCATGGTACGAAAAGCACAGGTGAACTTAATAACATTAACAATGGCTCAGTTTCATGAAGTTTTCCAGTGAGCTATTCCAGTGAGCCAACATGGACAATAGCAAGGCTTCCCTTAAATGGAATGCAGCTGTCATTAATGTTATTAAATACACCTGTGCTTTTCACTATGTCAAAATATCTCCTGTGAAAAAGGTATATTGTGTTTGGGTGGGTCTGCAGGGTCATCAGGCGGGCACCCCCTCAGTAACTGGTGTTTGGTTGAGTTGGGCCTACGCCACATAGAGGCTTCAACAGTTTGTTTCAGCATCCCAAAGCCACCTACCTCACCTATACATTAAACACAGCCCTGTGAAGCAAGCTATTCTTTCTTTAACACCACATGCTAGCCAGCAACAACCAGCTAACACATTAAGCTAACTAGCGTGCCACTACAGTTTAGCCAGTCACAAAGCATACACTTTATGCGAGCTAACAACATGTAACAGCACTTTTTGTTATTTTCATTTCTTTGGGTTCATGGCCAACATGCATAAAAACAACAATAACAAAAATTAAAAAGTATCACTGTCTAAAATACCCTTACCTATTAGACAATACTATATATTCATAAACACACACAGAATATTGCAGTAGTCTTGTCCAGACACTCAACACAACTCCAAAATATTCTACAATGTTTATCTCCTGCTGACAATATGTTGTCAGTACATTCACTGCAACTTTATTAGCATCTGACAGCACTTACAGGAGCGCTTACTGGGCAGGGCTGGGTCTAATAAGGCTTCACCTTGGTCTGAGTAAAAAGGCTTGGACACAGATCTGAGCATGGTGAGAGATCATATTGTTGTAATTCATGTTACTGGCGGCGGCTAAATGAGCTCTAATGTTTGGCACGGTTGGCTTCTATAACACTGTTTAACAAGCAGGCGCGCGCGCTCACACATACACACCTTTTCCCTGAGCATGCTGACACCATCTGGAGATCTGCTGATAGCTGCCTGATAGCAGTAGTGGGATTATGTGGAGTTTTATGGAGAGAGCAGTGACTGGGTGTTTAAGTCCTCTAGATGGCAATGCTGTCTTCTGGATCTGCTTCATAAACAGAGAAACTGGAGCAGCTTGATTACTAGCAACTGCCTTAATAACTACCAATCCTAAATCAGCTCTCAGTAGTAGACCCACTTATCTGTGTTACTACTCCTAGATGTCAGTGTGGTACAGTGAAAAATATGTCATGGTTTTGTTTGGTGTCTTTGTACCTGTTTCATAGCCAGATAGTCCTAAATACATTAAAAGAAAATACCAAGGGGCAACCTGGGGCTGAAAAATGCAGTCAACGCAGAGGTGCCAAAATCTGCAGTTCCTCTAATGGCCACTTGAGGCTGGCTGCAAACACGATTCAATCTTCACACACCTCTATGTCAGAATGCCCAACTTTACAGCTGAAATAAACATGTTTAGAGGCTGGTACAAAACATTGGTCTCTATACCTAACTTCCCCATTCCTGACAACTGTACCGGGGGTGAATTTCACCTCTTTAAATTAGCTATATGGTTACATGAGGTCACTTCTGGCTCCAAAAATCCAAAATGACAAACTTGAGGCCTCAAAATGGGAGTCCACAAACCATTGGGTGATGCCACAGTGGCTACATTCATTATTTTATACAGTCTATGGAAAATACCCCGATGATGTCATCAGGGTTATCACAGTTTAGGTTTGGAGATTGCAAATACTCAGTAACAGCTATCTGGCAACAGCGTTTTTCATCTTTACGTTCACACTTAATGTTTTCAGTGGTTGGGATGGATTCACTCACGCTGGCTATGGCAGGAATGTGATCTAAGACATTGTGGTTTTGGGATCAGTGTAACCAGTTGGGTTTTAAGCTTTTAGACTCACCTCCTGCTGTGGTTTCCTCCCTCGCAATAAAACTTTATTAGCATCTGACAACACTTGTCTTAATGACTTACTCTGACAATGATCTAACACATATACATGTGGTAATTTCACTTTATGGAAAACAGGCTTTAGCATGGCAGCATCTTCTACAAGCTTGCGTCTTCGCCAGCTTGCCTGAGCAGTGCTAAGAACTAATGTCTCCAAAGTCATTCTAGTTGTAGAGTTACACATTCAACAAATGGATTGATACAAACACCTTTTACTGTCTCATTACCATAAAACAAATGCTGTATTGGGTATTTTACAAACTATACTATTATTTTTGGGGTTGTTATTTTAAGTGGTAACAGGTTTGGCATGGCCGGACAAATCTCTGAGGTGAGTTTGGGGAAAAAATAGGTTTTGAGCCCCACTGCACAGCACCTAAACCTAACCCGACAATAGATGGCGTTTTTATTGTACAGTATGACCGCAGAACTACCAATACCAATAATACCAGCTGGCCTCAGGCTTACTCTGTCAGTTAGTTTGTGCTACTTTGATTAGACACAACCTAATCTGGGAAAGTGCACTATGTAAATCACGCCTGCTCATTTTCCCCCTCAAAATATTAATAATAGATAATTGACTTCATCCTCATAAAGAAATTAATGTTGTCTTGTCATGACTATTCTCGAAAAAGTCCTCAATGTTGCCCTAATACTCTGTCATACTGACACAATCCTCTTGTGTGACTTGTCACCTCTGGCACAGGTTCAAATAGACAAAAAGTCGGAGGAATCAAAATGTGAATGCAATAACGTCCCATCATATCCTGTACAGTATTTCACCTACCAGGATGTGCAACTACATCATGAGCTAAAACCAAAGGGAATATGCCTAAAAGAAAATAAAGGTTCATCATTAGAGATCATCTCATGATTTATTGCCCCAGAATTACTGGTCTAGTTACAAAGAGGGATCCCAGACCCTCTTCATTACCTCTGCAAAAGAGGTTATGTTTTAAGTTTGGTTTGTTTGTTTGTTTGTTAGCAGGATTACAGAAAAACTACTGGCCTGATGACACTTAGTAGAAGGGGGTGCCATGGGTCAAGGAAGAACCTGATAAATTTTGGAGCGGATCCAAATCACAACACGGATACATTAAGTATTTCTCAGTTTCCTTAACACTGTGCGATAAGGCCTTAGTTGAGTGCTGTTCTAATTTCTCTATGAACACAAAAGGTGGGCCTTGTACATTATTTCAGTGGACGGAATTGATCGACTTCAAGCAAACTGTAATAACCTCCTTCCGGTTGTATGCTGCCGCCAACCAGTCAAGTTATAGTTTACATCCATTTCAGTCCAGGATCATGTAGCCATGACAGTTGACAATGCTTCAAATATAGATGTTGCTGCAAGGCTACAAGGCTCTATAGCATTGGCACAGTTTTTAAGGTGGGCATCCAAAATAAGTGCCACCAATTCAGTTTCGATGTTTAAAAATGGCTAGAAAATTGTTTATGCAGAACATTATGATGCCACAGTGAAGTTGACCTTTTGGATATAAAATGTCATCACTTCATTATTTTTATCCTAACGGAAATTTGTGTGAAATTTTGTTGTAATTAGCGAATGAATTCTTGAGTTATGGCCAAAGATTAGTTTTGTGAGGTCATACTGACCTTTGACCATCAAAACTAATCACGTCATTGTTGGGTCCAAGTGGACGTTTGTGCCAAATTTAAAGAAATTCCCTAAAGGGGTCCTTGAGATATCTCATTCATTAGTTTAAGTTTTTAAATATTGACATCTTTAATCTGACTCTTTCCCCTGACTGCTGTAACACTGGAATTTCTCAGTTATGGGCTCAATAAAGGTATATCTTATCTTATCTTACAATGGGATGGATGGACTGAGGTTATGTACAGGCTAACAAGCAGCCCCCTGACATGGCTGCTGCCAGCGTAGAGGCATAAAAAGAGCCAAACACAGAGATGACACACAAAGTCTATTAAAAATGCACATAAACAGAATGCACCTTCTGTATTAAGGCCGTCTCCTTCACCTTAATTTTAGGGAACACAGAAACACTTTTTTCACCACCCAGGCTGTGTGAACAAAGACCACTCACGGTATTTGAGAAGTTTTATTTTTTCTTTTTTTTTCAGCATTTCTTACAACAATACAGACATCACAGAATACATAGTTTTACAAACACAAAGCACACCACCACCTTGGTTGCTGCTGCTGCTGCTGCTGCCGTAAAGGGAAGGGGGAAATGCTGTGGGATCTGGAAGTTGCCAGTTCAGCCTTTGGCTATCCTTCTTTTCCAGAGACTTCCCTCATCTGTTATAGCTAGAAAGAACCTGCCCTTCGGGGGTTGCCATTTTGGGACCTTTGTGCAGCGTAGCAGTATGAGAACAATGGAAAAAAGCTTTCTTTGAGACATGTAGGGGTAAAACAAAACATTTCTAGACTATGATCTGAGCGTGATGTTACTCCAACTGAGAGGAAGCAGTAATGGAGGTTAAAAGAAGAGGCTCAGTTGGAAATTGTTGCAACTAAAGAGCAGTTCCATCTTTCTGCTTGTTTGCAGTAAATCTTGGGCAGTAGGAATCTCTCCACTTCAAAAAACTAACAAAAGATCTTTCCTTGCTTCATGTTCTACAGTTTTTCAGGGTACTCTGCAGAAAAATTACACCACCTAAATCTTGACCATCTAGTCTTGAGTTGTTTATTATTACTTAAATTTTTTATTCCTGTACAGTGAAATAACAGATCTTCAAATGATCTTTTTTAAAAATACAGAAGGCTTCTTTTATTCCAGCCATTTTTTTCCCCAAACATCATTCCCAGACCCTTCCAACTTACAACAGGACTTTGATATTATATACTTCTGTTTGTGTCAGCTGATGGTAATGTATATGCATGTGTGTGTACGTATGCGTGTGTGAACTCTATGTCATTTACACCCAACATTGTAAACATACATAGAACTATATTACATGTGCTTGCACTGCATCTTGGAGGGGGAGAAATTTTGGTTTACTTCACTAGAACACCACAAAAGAGGGAAGAAGGGGAGGGAAGGGCTCGCGAGAGGAAGAAGAGGTGGAGGAGGAGTGTCAAACTCCTTTTCAAGGTTGTGAGGTTATTCTCAGTTTGGTTGAAAGCTCAGTTTTAGTGGACAGGCCCTTTTTTTAATTCTCTTAAGCAACAGGGGCATGAAGACAAGAGTTTTCTCTCTGGGATAGTGAACAAAAAAGAAGCTTTCTGTCGAGTCTTCGGGGTAGAGCCCATTGTCCAGCACCATCGAAATGTCATAGAAGAGCTAGAGGGGAAAAAAAGAAGTCTTTATATTCTGTATTAAGAAGTTCCTTTCAGGTCCAGCTTCAGCAGCGTGAAGCTACCACGTTTCAGCAGGGTTTAGCTGGGTGTCAGGGTCCTCCACTGGCTTTAAGTCCTTCAGTGGATAATACCCTATGTTACATGTACAGGGAGTCATGTCAGTGAGGCAGAGGAAACAAGCCTGTTGACCAGTGGGACTGCAGGTCTCTGTCTTCTTTTTTTTTTTTTTTCTTTTTTTTTAGGTGGCCAGGCAGCCAGCTGGAGAGTCAGTGAGTTCTGCTCAGTCATTCAGTTTCATCTAGTTTTTGCCCTCCTGAAAGAGCCAGTGGAGTCTCAAAGACAGCCGTCTTGTCTCTGTACGCTCTTGGAGGGTTTGGAGCGAGCAACCCAGGCCATGAGAAAGGGCAAACAAATAAGGATTGACGAGGGCGGACGATGAAATCCAAGATGAGAAGAGGAATGAATCGGAACGACAAAGAGGCGGGAGGAGGGGGGGGCAGGGGTGTGCTCTTTACAAGTAGACACGTCTCAGGTCTCCGGGTGAGGTGATGGTGTTGCACTGCGGGCACAGCTTCTTGTTCCCCTGTGATGGATGGAGAGAAGACGAGATACGGTCAGAATAAGGTAATATCTACTCACAAATGCATTCAATCAGAATTATAGTGCTGATACGTAACTCTTAATTCATTGAACTACCAAACATGTTGGTTCCAGCTTCTCAAACGTGAGAATCAGTCACTGTCACCTGAGTTGAATCTGATACTGATGCGTCTCAGGTCAGTCTATGCAAATGAAAGCACACGACCGTTGCTGCATGATTTAGTGTCTCCACTCTTCTCCTTCTCTGAGGGTTAAAGGAACCCTGTGAAGTTTTTGACCACTAGCAGTGCTAAAGAGCAATGTTTATGAGTGGGTCCCTGTTTAATTTGTATCATGTATCTTTAAATGCAACTCCTCTTAGGGGTGGACGATATAGCCAAAATCTTCTATCATGGTATATGTAATTTTATCATGGACCCTGGAAAATTTGTTTGCGGATTCAGGACAATCATCACCATTTTGATTTAGGACAGATTTGCTCATAATCATCCAGGACCTTCATTGCTATATTGATCCTGGATTATTTGTTTATGTTGATCCAGGATGGCAACATGGCAGTGATTTTTTGAGAGAAGCCAGCACACTGATGATGTCAGAGGGCTGTGATTGGTTGATTGAAATGTTAGCTCAGGATCGCAAAGTAGGATGTCGATCCAGGAACATACCCTACTTGGCTAAATCACGTCCTCTGGTATTTCTCAGTCTTTTGAAATTCTATAGACTACAAAGCTTAACCGGAAAAATTAGCAAGATTGAAAATAATCATTAGTGGAAATGCAGAGAACACACTGAACTCATCATTCACTCTCCTACAGAAACCCCCCCTGATCTGTACAGGGGCTGCATGTTAATGATACTATGTGTCTTTCGACAGTTGACCAGTGCTACACAGCTGAGCCAAAATTTGTCATTTAACTACAACTTTGTCCTCCCTCTATGTAAATGTAAACTAGCCTGTTAACAGCAGAGCACCATCCCACCGTCCTCCCATTAGACCTCTGCACTGCTTTGATACTGTGCCATCTGCAGTAAAGCAGCAGGTGATAATATGCAACACAGGGCTGACACAGTAACAGCATTCTGACTGGGTGGTCTCCACCACTGTCCTCCACCTCTCCGTCTCTTCCCTGCTGCCTCTTTACCAGTTAGTTTGTTCCTTTCTGTGTTGGGTGGTAACTGCTGGCTATAGGCACATTCCTGCAGTTTTCACTGTGCTGTGTTTCCATGGGTTACAGATGTATGAATAAATATAAATGTCAAAATAAATTATGTAAATAAATGATGTATTATGGTACATCTGGAGTTAGTTAGGAGAGGAAGCTGCAGCAACTGCTTTTTTTATGTTATCAATGCTTACAGCTGTAACAGACATTTTGACCTGTTAACATGTATCTGAGCTACAAAACTGACTATTACCCATCCCTAAAGTATCTCTCTGGTATGTGGAGACGTTCACCAGTTCACTGTAATGTGTGTAGAAGGTGTGTAAAACATAAAGAGTGCGAGTTCAGTCTTCCCTGTGAAGCACTGTGTGTGACATCTAACACGGGTACAACAGAATGTGAAGGATCTGAACTTTCCAAATCCTTACTGGTCAGTACAAAAGTACAGGCTAGTCTGACCCCAAAGATTTATAGGCTTCTTTCCTGTAAGCCACTGAATAAACTCTTTGGAGTGGGTGCATGGTCTAAGGTACTCTAAAGGGCGAACACACACACACTCGTGAGGACTGAGGTGGTGCAAGAGTCTGACAGATCTCACACCCTCCTGGTAAGAGGATTTGTGGCTCCAGAGTACTCAAAACAGTCTCTTCATGTCTCAAGAGAGAATGAAGAAGAAAGAACATTGTGGTGGTGAAGAAAGAGAGAAGAAGAGACAGAAGAAAGTCTGGGATGGTTTAAAATGGATGCACATAGGTTTCTGCAGTAGCACTGAGTATGGGTTGAGATTTCTTGATACGCGTCTTCTTGTTTGTTTGCATGCCTGTCGAAGCTGTGTACTCCTGTTTAGTGTGGGCGGTAAGTGTGTGTGGGTGTGTGCCCGTCACGCTGTGCTCCAGCTGCCTTGCTCATTAAAGCGGTAAGGGGCTGGGCTGATGTTAACTAGATTCCCAGGCATTTACTTTGATCAGCTTGGCCCTCCTGTTTTTATAGCTGTCTCCAGGCTACGAGTTTAATGCCCCATACATTAGACCTGCGACGGCAGCACACACACACACACACACACACACACACACACAGGTACATGGCAGATGGAAACAATGGACCTCATTCAAGAATGATTTCTTATGGTCTCCCTAAACAATTTAATGAGAAAATTAGAAAACCCTACAAGTAATTTATAAAACATGCTCTGACTGTTTGTACCCACATGAAGTTCTTCATGAATCAGTATTGATCTTATATTGGATGCATGTTCCAGGTAATCATTAACACATCTAAATGCCCAATTAAACATGAATGAGGGCACATTAGCCATGTGCCTTCTTAAGTCTTATTTTACTTTTACAAAAACATCAGCCATCAGGTACATGGCATTTCAAATGTCATCTGTAATTTGCTGTAAGAATGTTAATCAAATGCCAAAATCTGTGATAATTTCATGCACTCAATCACATTACAATCAATTACTGGGCACTTTTGGCATGACACAAGCCTTGAGACAAAACTGAAAGTCTGTAGCCACACAAGTGGCTGGTGAAGCTGCAATACGTGATGTATTCCACAAAATAAAAAAAACCCCAAAAACTTTGTCTTATGGTTTAAAAATGCAGGACTGCATTATGGTACATCTTGGTTTCACTGTGCAGGATTTGCGCTTTTTTTTGTTTTTTTAAATTGTATTTGTCTGTTTTTATTTTGTTGTAAAGCACTATGAGCTACACCTCCCTGTATCAAAGGTGCTATATAAATAAAGTTTATTATTATTATGTGTTCAAGCTCTCTTCGGGAAAAATGAGCATTGTGCAAAGGTAAATTATAACGTTCTCATGATGTGTTCAAATGTAATGTTGCAGGATTTAGTTTTTTGTGAGAAACTTGAACAAATACAGTTGTTATGAGAAGAAATCTGTTACGTTTTTACAGCAATGTGAAACAAATATTAGAAGGAGAGTTATGATTTATATATATTATATATAGTAGAAAGGCTTAGAAGTATTTTAAACAACAAAAATGTTTTCAGATGAAACAGGATTATTTAAAGGTTGTTTCATAAATGTGTATGATTGATTTTTTATTACACTATCTCCATACAAAGGTATTGTAATGAGGGGCTGAATGACCTTAAAACAGTTTCCCTGGTAATAAGGAACAACAAAAACAAAAAACAAACAGAAAAACCCCACATCAACAACTAGAATTACAACCCTTGCAGTTGTATCCCTCAGCCACAGAAGACCTACACAAGCAGCACAGATTCAAGGTGGGCACCCATGATTACTGTCACCAATTAGGTATCTGACCACAAGTATCCCTTCTGCTCCTGAGTTATGCCATTGAGTAATGGCCAGCAAAGTGCTTTATGCGGAATATTAGGATGTCACAGTGAGGCTGACCTTTGACCTTTTGGATATAAAATGTCACCACTTCATCATTATATCCCATTAGACATTTATGGTAAGTTTTGTCATACTTAAGGTAAGAATTCTCAGTTTGAAGAAATTATCTTAAGGTGTTCTGGAGATTTTGTGTTCACAAGAATGAGACGGATAAAAGGTCACATTGACCTTTGACCACCAAAATCTAATCAGTACACCACTGAGTTCAAGTGAATGTTATTTTGCCAAATTTGAAGAAATTCCCTCAATGCTGTTGTGAGATATCACCTTCACGAGAATGGGATGGATGGATGGATGGATGGATGGACAGACAACCCAAAAACATAACGCCTCCAGCTATGGCTATCGGCAGCGCAGAGACACAAAAAAAAACATTGGTATCTGCCAAACTGTTATTTTAAACATTGATATCTGCTAGGGGTGGAGGAAAAAACTGATACAGCATAGTACTGCAATATTTTTGGGTGGCAATATGGTATCGTCACACAGTGCCAAGTACTGATTTTCTGTCATATAAATTGTTAATATTACAAATTAATATTTTTGATAGCCTACAGGAATAATATAATCAATTGCCTTTTCAGTCCACAAGATACATTTTGCAGCTGCAAAAAAATGGCTAAGATGCGATGGATGGACCAAAAACGTTATCCTGTTTGATAAAACAGGTGTTGACAAGGTTTTCTCTTGGGGGCATAAATTACAGTTGAAAACAGGTAATCAATGTATTGCAAAATATTTTATTGCAATAATCGCTAAAATGGCAATAATATTGTATCATGATCTAAGTGTCGTGATTATATTGTATCGTGTATCCTCTGGTGACTCCCACCCCCAGTATCTGCACAGAATTTCAAAATTGGTGCATTACTAATTAAACTTGTCAGTCTCATTAATCAGTCTCAACTAAGAAGTACTTTTGTGTGCTTGGAGCTTAAAAGTGCAAATTTGAGTTATCTTATTGACAAACATTACCCAGCAAGCGACAGTCGTGATTTAAACGTATTGGCTATATTTAGCTCCGATTTAGTCTAGCTACATGTAACCCAAATCTAGCTGATTTAATTTTGAAATTGATGAAATGTAATTTTCGCCATTGCAGATGGCGGGCGGTATGATATTCAATCACGTATGGAGAGTCAACAGTAATTAAAATATGTTTATCTCCATTTTTTGGACATGGTCTCTACATAGCCGTATAATTGATGACGTCTACACTTTGGCTATGGTTAAACGTCTACCAAATTTTCACTGACAGCCCAAATTCATCCGTGATTTAGCCTAGACGTCAGGTCTTCATGTAGATGCTATTAGATGTTTTTTAAACCAAAAAATGCTTGATGGGTATATTTACATTTAGTGTTTATGACCAAAGCCAAATTCATCCTCTGGGGACTATGAATGTCACTCAAAATCCCTCAAATAGTTGTTAAGAAATCCTTTGGGCCACAGTGGACTCAAAGACCTTAATCTCCATCTCTGGATCCCCAGGATGCAGCTCTCATGTGGTTAGTGAAAATACTAACTCTACTGGAATTGTTTCTTTGTAGTTTGTTAGTTGTTCTGCAGCATTTGCACACAATTCTTCGGCTATTCATTGCAGCCCTTCTCCCTGTGTGTTTGGTCCTGTAATTATGCTAAGAGTGTATTTATTTGTAAGTATATCAAAGGGCGCGAAAGGTGGGGAACTGTTTGCAACTGTTGATGCGTCCCACCTGATAGTGCTAAAAAGACAGAGCCACTGAGGTGATGAAGAGGCTTGAGAGAGAAAAGGTAATAGAAGAGGAAAATGCAGAAGACAACAAAGGACATGTGGAAAAAAGAGGACATAACAGCAAAGACACCAAAGAAAGCCAATGAGAAGACTGTTTATCCTGCCAGCAGCAGAAACACTGTGCTCCATTTACCACATTAGCACCAGCTAATTATACACTACTGAATATATTAGACTAACTAATAACCAACAAACCACTGCCTGTGTGTGTGTGTGTGTGTGTGTGTGTGTGTGTGTGTGTATACCCGGGGCACTATGTAGAACTCATTGGAGGTTCGAGTTGACCACTTTATTCCAACATTTTAACAGGCCTTTTGGGGGCCATTCCATCTAAGCTTTTCCCCTACTGAGAACTGGAAGTGTTTGCATTGCCTAGATTTTGTGTGTGTCTGTGTGTGCGCACACGTGTGTGTGGGGCGAGAGAACAGGTCATTTGAGGAATATTCCATTTTAGTTCCTCCCTATGGGGCACAGCTACAGAGAGAAACTCACTGACTATGAAATGAGGCTGCAATAACTGCATGTCATGAGGAGCTGCGCTGCAGCACGGAGGAGTGTGTGTGGTTGTGGACAAGTGTGTGAGTTTGTGCGTACCAGAGTCCTGAGCCAGCATTCTTCACAATGCACGTGCCAGCACTGGATGGAAGTGAGTGGCATCGTGTAGGAGTCCTAGGAACACACAGAAAGAGACAGAGAGAGAGGAAACATGAAGTTACACCAAATTCAAAAGGACACGCACATGCCGGGTAACAACAACCAAAACAACACTGTACATTCCCTGACCAACAGCATCAAACCACTAACCATGAAACGACACAGCCAGCAGCCACAGAACCACTGAGCAAGGCAGCGTGGGAGGCAACGGCACCAGCAACCTGCACGTCACACACACATGGACACAATATCGGGCAGGCAACGAGCAGAGACGGAGGGAAGCAGGCAGAGGGAGGAGAAGATGAGGGAGAAAGCCATGACTGGCTTTCTTTTCTTTTCCTCTCGAAAAGAACGGACAGATGAGGGGGAAGGAGGAGGGGGGAAGAGGAGCGGAGGAGGGAGGGAGTGCCTTACCCTCCGTAAGGGCTGTGGGAGGAGCCTCTTTATGCCGCTGCCGTAGCCACCAATCACAAGGCCCCTGTACAGGCAGTACAGGCCGAGGGGGAGGGACTTAGGCTGCCTCTCTCCGACCTCATTGGCCAGCGGCCGGGGCCCTGGCCACACCCCTAGGCTCTTGATCTCCGCACCTGACTGGATAGCAGGCTTCCTCTGCGGAAGGGAGGGGTGGGGGTGGGGAAGGAGAGGGGGCGAAAGGTGGCAGCTAATCATAGAGGCGGGCTTGTACTGGTCGAGCACTTATAAACACCACAGTGTAACACGCGCGTGTGGACAGACACACAGACCCACGCACACGTAAGAGAGCGCGTACAGCTTGGACAGCCTATGAGGACTGCTCTGAGGGAACGCTTGAGAACTCTCCCTCTGTGTTTGTACTGACTTTGTTTTGTTAAATAATCATGAAATATGAAAGCTAATGGCTTGGCTATGTGTCTGAAGGTTAACAGGAGACCAGTAGAAAAACTCAGCTGTAAGTCAGACGTACAGTCATTCACTCTGTATTTTATGGCACAATGAATATTGTTGCTTTCACTGTATTTTTGCTCAAGATCTGATTGGCAATTGATGGGATACCGTAAAATGTAAGGCTGTTTTTAATAATAAGATTAGTATTGAAATACATGTCTTCATTATCCATTGACTTTAACTGACATTGCTACTATAGTACTGATCTAAGTTAGGATGCATGTTTATGGGGCTCACGGGGGTCAATCATATGAATGTGAATGTTCATACTATAACCGCAACTAACAATTATTTTCGTCAGTGATTAATCTATCAGTCATTTGGTCTTTAAAACATCAGAATCGATGGTAAAAACAAAAAAAGGCTGTCAGAAGTTCCTAAAGCCAAAGGTAACATTTTCAAATGTCATGGTTTGTCTAACCAATAGTCCATACTCAGCTTACTATAATACACTACACAAAACCCAAAAACTGTTAGATCTTCTTTTTATTTACTTTGTCTTGTGAATAACCATCATTAACTAATATTACTTTTAATACTTTCTGTTTTAAAACAGTTTGTCCTATTATATGAATAAATGCACTTGTTAAGCAGAAAAGCTGCATCTCCCCTCCCAAGTTGACCAGTAGGTGGGGGTAGATATCCACTGATGAGACTAAACCTCAGCCCTGAACTCACTTCAGGACCAGGGGAGGATAAACTTGAGCCAACTTGGCTGCAGCAGGAGAGCACTTGTTTTCTACTTACACACAACTACCTGAGCATTGGAAGGTTATGATCCATGCACAACAGTTAGTGAATCATAACTCTGCTACACATGTTTTTGGATATACTTGGAGGCTGTGGTGGAAATCTCCAGCTCCTCTAAAATGCTTCCTGTTTGCCAAGAAGTGAAAGCAACCTGATGACTTCTACATCAGACACACCATGACAGGGAAGGAGCACAGTGGCGAGTTAAAAACAGACAGAGACGGATTAGTGTAAGATCTGTGTGTGTGACATTGTACACATATCTGTGTTTCTCTGTATGCTTGAGTGTGTGTGAGAGAGAGAGAGATGAGGGACAGTGACAGATGAGCGGAGAAGAGCCGTGTGTCCATGGGGCAGTGAGTGATCGATCGCTGTGTCTTGCCCTCCGTGTCACCTCGGGCACCCAGCGACCTTTAGGAAGCGCAAGCGTCGGTAATTACCTGCTTTTCACACACACAGACACACACACACACACACAGAATGCCGACGCTGCACTGTCCACTAGCTTGAAGGATGACAGGATGGGTACTTGACACAAAGTGGGAAACACAAACTCTTATGAGGGGGTGCAGGTGCAGTCGTATCTCAAGCATCTGATGAACACGAATATTGACACTGTCCCTCACTCTCCCTGATATTGTCATGGATGAACAAATGGCTTATATTATCTGGGAGTCCAATCAATAACCTATACATGCTGTACAGCTCAGGCCCATCCTTCCGCTTTAAAATGCACTATAGTTTGTTTTTTGATTGTCATCAGGGTGCTTCAGCTTCATACAATTACAACTGTGGCCATGAAAATATCTTACATATATTAATACAGAGCAGAATCCTGATCATATTTGAGGCCGTACTGCGTTTCCCACTAGAGTCTCTTATCCCAGCACACATTCAGTTGACTTCCGAAGCCATGCAAGAGCATAAACCACCACAACACAAAAGCAACACTCATTCACTTATAAAGCTACTTAGACATCCACAAACTGAGGGAGATGAGATGCGCACAGTTCCTACATGCACACTTCAATGAGTATCCAGCATACAACACAATAAACTTCACATTATGTAATAAGAGTATCTGCTGCCCAAAGCGAGAAAGTGGAAAAATCAAGATTTATGATGTGGTCAATTAAAGGGTAACTTTGGTATTTTTCAATCTGGATGCTGTTTTCCCATGTTTTCTATCTGACTAATGGGAACAATAATATTTAAAAATGGATCCAGTATGGTGCTGCAGCTGGCAGTGGCGAAACAGGCTGCAATGTAATCCATCAGGGCATGTGTGCACCATCAAATTACATCCAATACAAGTGCTTATTTTTGCCTCTGACAGGGTCAAATTGTTTTAAGTGTCTGACAACATTACAGAAAGGATCCTACTGAGGCCGACCTTTTTGTTTAACCTGAAACTGCCCAGGTATCACCCTCGCCAAGCCCGCCAGACTCCCATAAAATAAAGAGTAACTGTATTGAGCCAACATATTTCCACCCAACTGTGTGAATTAAGGGTTAATTTCAACCAAACCTGGGTTGGTGTTGTCACTGTTGGAACAGTGAAAAGACAAAGCAAGACTGTTTTTGTGAGTTTTCTGAGTGTGGTTGGTTTGGAGATACTGTTTTCAGGGCAGTTTCTGATTAAACAAAACGGATCTTATGCCTGGTTTCCATTACACATATCATGTACTGTTTATATGATGCCTCAATCCAAATACCCACAAAGCACAATGTGGCCACAAGCTTGCAATAATGTGCCCTGGCTTGTAGCATACTACAGTTTGCAGAGACTGCAGTAGTTATGTTGTAAGTACAGTAAACTGGGGCAAAAGAAGGCAGTATTTGGGGAGCTTGTGACATGGGACAGGCATCGTCATCTTACTCATTTTTGAGGATCCAGTCACTGCACTGGGACAGAGTATCTGTGTGCCACTAGTTCAAAACTTGTTAGATTGAAGGATATGAGGAAGGCGCTCTTCATTAAGCTCAACATCCTCCTTCGGGGGTTTCCTCAGAGACTACTACTACTAACCCTTGCAGTAACTACCAATACCATAAACCACGGCTGCTCTTCTACATGATACCACATTAAGTTCTACAAATGTTAGATGCAGTGCCTCCAGACAAAAGGCACAATACTGCCACTAAGGGTTGATTTGAAACAGAGAACATGCATATGAATGGTATTCTCACCATGCAGATGAGACACTTGTATCGGTCTCCTCTCAGTATCTGCCTCTCCAGCTCTCTGATTCGAGCCTTCAGAGCCTCCATGGTAGTAGCCGTAGACTCCTCCTCTGTTACCCTGGAAGATAGGAACAGAAAGAAAGACAGAGGTGGAGATGTTTAGTGCTGACTCTCTAAGACATATTGATGAGTGTGAGACAGTGTGTAAAATTACACACTAGCAACCACTGAAAAAGTAAAGCCAGACCATGTCCAAACTTCAATAAATGTGAGAATGGTGTTCGAAACACCTCCATGCTTGAGGTGGTTTTTCGCCTTTGTCGAAACACAGCTGATGCAACAAATGGGATATGGAAACACCTTCACCAAATATATTGTGACTTAGTGAACAGTTAACTAAAAATGACTGATGAGCTGTTTCCACTGTCAGCATTTTGAAGTGCATAAGAACCATTGCCTTGATTTGTCTTTGCCTCTGGGCAGCATGAAACCTGGCCAATACTTGTTGACACAAAGGAACAGTTAAACTTGCCCAACTGAAACAAATTCCTGGAGACGTCTCTCCATTTTTCTCTTAACCAGTTAGATGGCCAAGGCAACTTGTTTTGTATCTGGTTTGCAATGTCTACTGCTTCTACTCTTGATTACAGCATGCCTAAAAAGCTTAGCCTATGCCACCTACCTCTGACCAAAATCATAATTTAGGGAGCCGAGTTTATTCGCTCAAAACCAGTTGATGGAAATGCGCCCAATTCTCATTGCTTTTTAGCAACATCTCAAAAGTTTGCTTGAAATTCACTTAAAAATTTAATGGAAACACGCATTGACAAATAAAAAACAGGAAATTGGCTAAAAGAAATCTTCTGTCTCTAACTTTATGGTGGTTGACATTAATACTATCAGTCTTGACACAATATTGCACTCTTCTGTGACTACCTACTATATCTAAATATATGTGTTCATTCCCACAATGACAGCTTCATGAACTCCTGTCTTTACATAAATGTGTCAGTGTTCGATTCCCCACATTCACAGCCATCTGATTATATCCCTCTCTGCAGTGCAAACCTGCTCTCTGTCCCTCAGTATGTCGTATGACATGTTTCTCTTGACAACCTCTTTATCATTGCCTTCTGTCTCTCTGCAGTTCAATACACGCTTGGGCATCTTTAAACCCCCCAACCCTTAATTTCTCTGTCCAAGATGGAGCATGACATTCTTCTAATTAACTCAGTTGTATCTTCATAGGGCCCATCATACAACACATTTACAACTTGAGTCCCTTTCTTTGCTCATTCCCACAATTCTTTCTATTTTCCTTAGACTCCATCAGCTTTTTCATTCTTCAATTTCCCTGTTTTGACTCAAAGTGCCCTGTCCTCCTTTTATCAAAATCTCACATTCACGTCTCATCCTCTGCATCTCCTCTCTTATGTTTTCCATCCATCCCTATATCCACCTATCCGTCGCAATTTATTTCCTTGCCTTGTGTCCTCACTTCATCCCTCCCTCATTCTATCCACTGCCCTCCCTTTCTTCCTGCCCCTAAGCAGCCTCTGATTAATGTGTAGCATGATAACAGAAAATGTGCATTTAACACTGTCCGACAGCATATGAAGCAGCCATAACTAAATCAATACGGCCGACGCACAGACCACAACGCTGCAGCTGATGATGATTTGGCGCTGTGAGACGAGGCCGCACGAGCCAGCCCTGTGTTTATTATGGCCATCCACTCGTTCTCTGGCAAGATGCAATAGCTGTGTGTGTGTGTGTTAAAATGGGAGTGAGTGTGTGCGTTTATGGTGATGTGGTCATTTTGCAGCCTGATAGCTAGCTGATCTATGGTATTGATCTGGATGGGGAAGGACAAGCGGAGAGAGGGTGAGAGGAAAATAGAACGATAAGTGGCTGTGTGTGTGTGTGTGTGTGTTCCTGTGTGTGTGTGGCCTAAGATATGGCTTCATTTTCTGCATCCTCAAACAGCAGAGGCAGGGAAATGTAAAGAAAAACAAGGACAGAATTTCTCAATTTCCTATTAAGAGGCAGGTTTCTGTAAATCCATTTTTACTGTATGCAGCAGTATGAGTAGATTTACATCTTATTTCCTTGAGGCCTATCGTCAAATAAGCTCATTAAATTAAATTGAACATTTAGACTAAATTGAAGATTAAATTAAAATTAAACATTTCAGGTTTGCAAAACACTCCAGTGTTAAGCTGCGCTGTAAAAGCTGAGCGTAGAAGCCTTATGTTTGCAGATAGTTCAATTTCCTTTTGGCAGAAACTTATGCAGGAGCAACGAAAACTCTCACACAACTGCAGTCCCCTATTCTTTCTCTTCCATCTCCTAAAACCTCAAAATTACGCTGCAACTGTTTTACAACAGGATATTCCCAGATTGTGATTCTCTATTTTGATTGGCTGGTAGCCCCTAATCCTGTCTTCTGAAATGTGCCAACCCCTGTATGACTATATGATGCCAAGCGTTACAAATTGTAAGAATTTTGAGGTATAGGGACTATATTTCATGATACTTGAAAAGCTAGATCAAAATCCGATTTTGCTTCAGTAGTAAGTACTTATGGCTTGAGCTGTAGCGATTAGTTAAAGGTATCTAATTAACCGAAATGATCGATTAAACATTTTGTTCATTTAAAAAACACCAATTTTTCCTTGGTTTCAGCCTCTCAAATGTCTCATATTTTCTAAATTGGGTATTTGGACTGTTGGTCCAATTAAGCAAGAAGATATCACAATGGACTCTGTGCATGTATGATGAAGGTTTCACTATTTTATGACATTTTTGAGACTAAACATGCGATTTACTGTAAAAATAATCTGTAAAAAAAAATCTGTACTTAGTTGCAGCTACGGCTGGGTATTGGTACTCAACACTCTAAAGATATCGACTTAATTAATGATACCTGCATTCAATCCTTTTTGTATGTATTTCAGGTCTAAAAATATGACTATTTGTACGTTTGCTTTTTTGCAGCCAATCATCTCAAGTGTTATATGATTTAATGCAACATATGATTGGCATACTACCCCAGCAGCTAAATCCATAAAGTCTGTAATATGGTGAAGTCCACAGGGATGTATTTGTCAAAGCTGGCAGTTCAACGTGCCTAGATGCCACCAAAATGGTCGACAGTATGGCAATGCTACATGCCTGTTTTGTCTGGTGGCATTTAACATAACTGAATGCTTACATTCACATAATGGGTATCGAAAAATTAGAATTATTGCCTTACAGTTGTATGCCTCAGTAAACCAGTCACATTGCAGTTAAAATTTACATCCACATTTGTGAAAACATGGATGCTTCACACACATCGTCCCCCTGACAACACAGACGATCTATACAATCAGCACTGTTTCAAGTTGGGCAGCCAAGACTAGAGTCACCAATTCAGTATCTGACCATCTAACCAAATATCTCCCTTCTGCTCCTGAATTGTTGTGTTAAATAATGGCCACAAAAGTGTTTTTGCAAACTATTGATGTCACAGTGTCGCACCATCATTTTATCCTATTATACATTTAAGTGAAATTCTGTCATGATTAGCATATAAATTCTCATAAGTTATAGCCAAAGGCATGTTTTGTGAGGTCACAGTGACCTTGACCCTTGACCACAAGATTCTAATCAGTGCATTCTTTAGCCCAAGTGGAGATCTGTTTGTTGGGTGTGATCTGTTACATAATAAAATAATGAGACATTTTAAAGATTTTTGCAGAGATTCATGGTACTTATTGCACAGAGAAGTCAGGTTATCAGGATCTGGAGGCTGGTCTGGACTTGTCTTGATCAAGAACACTGAGCCATTCTTCCACAACAGATGTAGCAAGGAGGTTTTGCACCCTCCATGGGAAAAGTCTACCTGCTCTAGCTCCTCCCTGTAACCCATCACTATTCGATGTCTATAAAGACCTAGTTGGGACTCCAAGCCTGACTCGCCACTCCATGCCCTATAAACTGCTTTACCCTCTCCTCTTATTAGTTCTGAGCTTGTAAAAAGCCATTTAGCCTTGATTAGCCTGCTAGCTTATAAAGCAGCAGTGGACTCTGGGCTGGACAGGACTGGGTGGGGGTTGTCCCTAAAACAAGGCTGTCTCTCTCCTTTAACAGCTCCAATAAAGCCCCCTGTCGCTCAGTTGAGCACAAAACTCTGCCAAGGGGCTCTCCTTCCTTGTCCAATGTCGGTTAAACAATGGAGACGGAGAAAGTTTTACACTTAAAAAATATTCTCCTTTTCTTCCAGCAATACTCACCTCTGCTGTCTCCTCTCTATCGTCCTCTCTATCTCTAAAATTAATATTTATTTAGCACAGTTAATTGAGTACCACATCTGAATACATGTTAATCTATTTTTTTGCGGCTGAGGCTATCTCAACCAGGGGGCAGGGAGGTAGAGGGGGAGTAGGAGGGAATGGAGGAGGTGCAAAGATTTACTGGAGGTAAAAAGGAGAACAGGATGATTTCACAGGGCCAAGGAAAGGAAAGACAACTCTCTGGGGCTAAATGTGACACAGGGAGAGATAAACTACCTCTCAACCAGCAAGAACCACAAGTAAAAATCCTTGAGTCTAAGCCCTTTATGCTATTTGTGTGTGTCACTGATTTAAGCTGGCTCAGGGGTTTTTAACCTTTTCAGTCTTGCAGCCAAAAATACAGAAAATTTATGTCACTGTGGGACCCAGGCTTAGCAAACATGTCATGTCGACTCACAGAAACAAGCTAACAGTTCAATTTGGGTTACAGCCTAAAAGGTGAGGTATTCCTGGGTTAGGAAATATACAAGAATCATTTGTGTGAGTTGGCTGCTACTCAGTGTAGCATCAAGTTTCCATAAGCGTGAGCCTCAGGGAGGGACTAACAGTATATAAAACATATATAAAATACACAGATCTGATCCTGATTTGCAAGGTTGTATGAATGCAGGTCTTGGTAGAGATACACCAATATGACATGCTATATCACGCTGTTGCAAAAGTTTGATGGGCTCATAAACAAAAAGTCAATCAAACAGTGTGTTGAGGTAAGATAGCATTTTATTTCATCTGAATCGGCTTAACAAATAACCTTTTTAAATCTGTAATCAAATCTATAAGT